TATTTGACATGAGTTTACTTTTCCACTCTGTTGTGAACCTCTATAATGATAATCTTGCATATGTGATGTGTTCTAATCTGTGTTAAGACCTTTTCTATCAACCATGACTGGTTCCCCTGTTAATATGTTCATCAGCATGTCTTTGGCTCACTCGATTCAATATCCCTTCAGTAGTAATTGTCATAATTTGATTTTCCTTACCATGTTTGATGCTGTTTTGTTTCCTGATGTGAGTTAACATGGCTGTCTTATGACATTGTGATGAATCCTTAGTATAATTGGGACCTTTAGGCTTCAAACTTTTAAGTCAGTGCCTTACTTAAACTTGTTTAGTATTATGCACCTGTGTATGATAATCTCTTTTAATCCTGCAAACTTGTTTCTCCCTTAACTCTTTCAATATGTGACTGCCTATATGTTTAACTCGCTAAGTGTTGAACCTGCTTTTAAGTCTTGCTGAACTTACTTCTAAGTCTTGTGACCTGTTTGATTAGTTGCTATGTGTTCTCAACTTTGCTATGTCTATTTCAAGCTATAAGTGTATTTCCTCAACTTCTATCCCTTAACCATTGTCCACTCTCTCTCATTTGTTACCAATGTTATCCTGAACCTATTATTCTTGGCCGGCTTAAAGCCAAGGCCACCAAGGCTCTTATTACTGACCTCCCTAGTGTAAGCACTGCTCGGAGTCCATTTGAGACCCTTGTGAACTCTGACACACTAGGATTTGGGGTCATTTAGCCACTCTTTCTGCTGCTGAGACCTGAACTACTCCTAATACTCAATTCTTTCTTCCTACTGAATATGAAAATTGGATGGTCAATCTATGACTGTGTGATTTGGCTTTGAGTTCTTCTATGGATTCTAGGTTGTGTTGATGAACATAGTTCCTAGGTATGTTGCGTGAGAGTTGTTGAAGGCCCAAGCAATGCTGGCTTTTGGGCCTACTGTCGTTATTTGTATAATATTTGTAATCACATTCATTATTTGGGCCTGCAATGACTTTGTAATGAACAATTGGGGGTGTTAGTGAAATTGGGGAATTTGTAGATTCTGATATTTGCATGCAAAGCTAGAAAACATGCGTGTAGGATTCAATGATTTACTTGCTATATATGCCATTCAATTTCTATGTGTACGATAGAAATCATGTCATTTGGAGAAGCACACACTCACACTACTCGTCTAGTAGCAAAACATGAGTTCAAATGCTTCAATTATTTCTATTGCTATGTGTTACTAGAAAACCTGCCTATAGGAAGCAAATACCATCGAGCATTTCTTTCAATTCACACAATTGCAGCACATCCACTAGAAATCATGCCTATAGGATTTTAATTATCCCATTTTCTATTGTATCATAATGCTCACTTAGAAAATATGTCAATAGGGGCTAAGCATAATAAAATTAGTTCCAAGCCCTAATCGTTAGAGATCCTGCCTACCGGGGCTCTTCCAATGTTATTATCTCTCTATCCCCTTTTTCTTCAGCCATTCCAAGGTAATGTTTCAACCTTTGCCCATTCACTGTGAACTTATTCGTCCCATCTTCTTATTCAATCTCTACAGCTCCACTTAAGAACATTTGCACCACTCTGAAGGGTCCTGACCATCGGGACTTCAACTTACCCGGAAACAATCTGAATCTCGAGTTGTATAACAACACTAGATCTCCGAATTTGAAGTTCCGATCCAAGATGTGCTTATCATGCATTAGTTTCATCCTTTATTTGTATAATCTAGCACTCTCGAATGCCTGGAACCTGAATTTCTCGAGCTCATGTAACCCAGTGACTCTGCTGGTGCCTGTTGTCTCCATATCCAAATTCAACTGCCGCAATGCCCAAAGTGCTTTATGTTCGAGCTCTACCGGAAGGTGGCATGCCTTTCCAAACAACAACTTGTACGGTGACATACCAATTGGAGTTTTGAATGTTGTGCGGTACGGCCACAATGCATCATACAGCTTCTTCGCCCAATCGGTCCTTATTGTATTCACTGTTTTTGTAAGGACACTTTTAATTTCCCTATTTGACACTTCAACTTGCCCGCTCGACTGTGGGTGATAAGGGGTGGTCACTTTATTACGAACTCCATACTTTTCCAACAGCCGTGCGAATGCTCTATTGCAAAAATGGGTTGCACCATCATCGATTATAGCTCTCGGGGTGCCAAAACGTGTGAAGATGTTTTTCTTTAGAAAGCCTGTTACCCGTTTTGCATCATTGGTTTGAAGAGCCACCGCTTCGACCCACTTGGAGACATAGTCAACCGCTACCAATATATATTTGTTACCATACGAGCTGACAAACGGCCCCATAATGTCGAGTCCCCACACGTCAAAAACCTCTACCTCCTGAATTGTGGTCATTGGCATCTCGTGATGGCGAGATATGTTGCATGTCCTTTGGCATTCATCGCAACTTTTGACCCAAGTGTGGGCATCCTTGAACAGAGTTGGCCAATACAACCCCGATTCCAACACCTTAGCTGCTGTCCGAATTCCTCCAAAGTGTCCACCATATGGTAAAGCATGGCAAGCCTGCAAAATAGAATGTTGATCTTTCTCGGGGATATACCTCCAGATCATGTTATCTACACATATTTTAAACAGTAGAGGTTCATCCCAGTAATAAGACTGACAATCGCGAAAGAACTTTTTTTTTAAACTGAGGAGAGTTCGTAAGGTACAATACCGATTGCTAAATAATTAGCAATATCAGCATACCACGGCATCTCCTCCATTGTCACTGCTAGTAACTGTTCATCCGGAAATGTTTCTGTTATATCCTCAACCTCTACCTTCCTTTTAGCTCCTTCCAACCTTGAGAGGTGGTCAGCTACTTGGTTTTCCGTCCCTTTTCTGTCCCGGATCTCTAGATCAAATTCTTGTAGCAAAAGAACCCAGCGAATCAAGTGTGGCTTTGAGTCCTTCTTTTCTATCAAGTACCTAATTGCTGCATGGTCATTATAAACAATAACTTTTGAACCAATCAAGTATGACCTGAATTTGTCGAATGCAAAAACGACAGCCAGCATCTCTTTTCCGTCACGGTGTAATTGAGTTGTGCACCACTTAGCATTCTGCTTGCATAGTAAATTGGGTGCATCAGTTTATCCTTTCGCTGCCCCAAGACTGCTCCTATAGTATAGTCACTTGCTTCGCACATGAGCTCGAACGGTTGCTCCCAGTTGGGTGCAACAATGATGGGTGCAGTCACCAATCTCTTCTTCAGCTCCTCAAGTGCCAACCTGCAATCATTATAGAACACAAAGGGCTGATCCTTTTCAAGAAGTTTACATAAAGGGTTAGAAATCTTAGATAAATCTTTTATGAATCGCCTGTAGAACCCGACGTGCCCAAGGAAACTTCTCACTGCCTTGACTGAAGTAGGCGGTGGCAACTTCTCAATCACGTCAACCTTAGCATGGTCAACCTCGATTCCTTTACTGGACAATCGATGCCCCAAGACTATCCCTTCTTGTACCATAAATCGGCACTTCTCCCAATTCAGCACTAAATTTGTCTCCGCACATCTTCTGAGCACTCTTCTTAAATTGTGAAGACAGTCCTCGAATGAGTCTCCCACCACGGAGAAATCATCCATAAATACCTCCATGATGTCTTCAACCATGTCCGTGAAAATGGCTAACATATACCATTGGAATGTAGCCGGTGCAATACAAAGCCCAAAAGGCATTTGCCGAAAGGCAAAGATGCCATACAGACAGGTGAAGGATGTTTTCTCTCTATCTTCGGGGGCTATTGAGATCTGATTGTACCCTGAATATCCATCCAAGAAATATAAGTGAGATCGCCCAGCCAACCTGTCCAACATTTGGTCAATGAATGGCAAGGGAAATGGTCCTTCCAAGTGGCTATGTTCAATTTCCAGTAATCCATGCAAATACGCCATCCCGTGAGTGTACGAGTCGAGATCAACTCGTTATTCTCATTTTGTACAAACGTCATTCCTCCTTTTTTCGGCACACACTGAACAGGGCTGACCCAATTGCTGTCAGAGATGGGGAAGATGATACACGCATCTAACCATTTGATCACTTCCTTCTTTACCACCTCTTTCATATTCGGGTTCAGCCTTCGTTGATGTTCTCTGGAAGGTTTGTTCCCTTCTTCCAAGAGAATCTTGTGCATACAAAAAGCTGGGCTGATACCCTTTATGTCCGCCATGGTCCAACCAATGGCAGTCTTACATTCCTGTAACACTTGTAGGAGTTGCTCTACCTGAACACCTAGCAAACCGGATGATATAATAACAGGTAAAGTAGAATTAGGCCCTAAGAAAGCATACCTAAGGTAAGCTGGAAGTGGTTTCAGCTCCAGTCGGGGTGGTTCCTCTACTGATGGTTTTGCTGGTGGTGTAGCTCTCTTTTCTAACTCAAGGGACTCGAACTGAGGTTCCCTCTTCCAGAATCCTTGGCCTTCGAGTGCCATGACCCACTCTGCCAACCTTTCACCATCCATCTCCTCCAAATTTGTCAAGCAAGCTCACAATGGATCTTTAGCATTCAGGATCTCATCATCTTCATGCAGGATCACATCCACTGCCTCCACTAGGGAGCAATTAGCATATTCATTGGGTCTCCTCATGGATTTCTGAACGTTGAATATAACTTCTTCATCGTTCAACCTCATTTTTAATTCCCCAGTTTCACAATCAATCAATGCTCTCCCAGTGGCTAAGAATGGCCTCCCTAAAATGATGGGTATCTCCTCATCTACCTGGCAATCCAGAATAACAAAGTCTGCAGGGAATACAAACTTTTCCACTTGTACCAGCACATCATCAAGAACCCATGTCGGCCTTTTAACCGTGCGGTCAGCCACTTGCAACAACATCGAAGTTGGTCTAGCTCTGCCAATGCCCAGTTTTGTATATATTGCCAAAGGCATCAAGTTTATGCTGGCTCCTAAGTCACATAATGCTTTTGCAAAGGCATAACTCCCAATAGTACACGGAATAGTGAAGCTACCTGGGTCAGACATCTTTTGAGCCATGGGTCTTGTCACTACTGCACTGCATGTCTGTGTCAGAGTTACTGTGGACAGGTCCTGAAAGTCAAATTTTCGTGACATTAGGTCCTTCATCATCTTTGCATAGCCTGGCATTTCCCTCAAAGCATCCATCAGAGGAATATTCAATTGAAGTTGACGAAGCATCTCCATGAATTTCCTGTATTGATCTTCTTTCTTTTGTTTTGCCAGTCTCTGAGGGAATGGTGCAGGTATCACCCTTTGTGCACTACTTGCTGGCTTCTCTTTGTTGGGGTTTTGTGGCACAAGAGGTACCACTTGTTCTGCATCTTGTTCACTCTCTTTAGCCTTACCCTTATCATCCTGAACCTGTTTAACCACCACTTCAATAAGTTCTGCTGATTCATCTATCTCTAATGGAGCTGGAGCGACTGGCTTAGTCTCTCTTCTGGATTGCGCAACCTCTTGCTCTCTGTCTAAATCTCTCCCATTCCGGAGACTTACTTCCATCAGCTGATCTCCTTGGGGTTAATGTTCGTGTCAGCTGGCAATGTTCCCTGTGGGCGGTTATTTAAGGCCATGGACAGCTGCCACAATTGAGTTTCAATATTCTTTATTGCTGAGTCATGCACTGCCAATTTTTCCTATATCTTACCATTTGTTCTAATGAGTTGTTGAAGCATACCCCTAATTTCTACCATGTTGCCATCCTGTTGCTGAGGAGGTGGCTGATATGCCAACTTTTCCTGGTTCTGCTGTGGATAGCCCTGTTGTCTCTGATATGACACCATTTGGCCTTGGGGTTGCATACCTCCAGGTTGTGGCATGTTTGGTCTGTACTGCTTATTGGGTGCTGGTCTCCACTGATGTCCTCCTTGTCTTTGACCCCCAAAATTGTTGACATAATTCATATCCTCTCTTAACCCTTAGTTGTCACCTTCTCCACTCCATGAACACACATAAGACTGATTAATGCAAGGTGTGCACAGTCCTCCATTTGTTGTGTCAATAATATGCACTTGCTTTGTACCCATCTCATCAATCTTCTTTATCAATATACTCATCTGAGTCATGAGTGTGGCTGTGTTCTCTGCATGCGAATTATTTGGGTCAAGAGGAACTGAATGCACTATTGGTGTTAGGGTCGTACCTCTCGTCATCCACCCCGAATTCTGGGACATCTTGTCAAGAAGGATTTTACATTCTGTGAATGTCTTGCTAAAAAATGCACCCCTAGCTGAAGCATCTACATTGGCTTTTAAATTGTCTGCTAACCCCATGTAGAATCTCTGGCCGAGCATTTGGTCTGGAATACCATGGTGGGGACACTTCACTAGCATCCCTTTGAATCTTTCCAAATTTCCTGCAAGGTCTCAGTAGGCTGCTGCTTGTACTGCAGTATCTCATCAATCTGTCTTGCAGTCTTGTTTGGGGGGGGGTAAAACTTGTTCAGGAACTGCTTGACTAATTCCTCCCAAGTGATAATGGAATTTATGGGAAGTGAATTCAGCCAAGTCTGAGCTTCCCCAGTCACAGAGAACGGGAACAGTAACTACTTGATGGCTTCTAGGGTCACCCTTGGCTGCCTTTGGGTCACACAAATCGACAGAAAGTTTTTTAGGTGTTGTTGAGGGTCTTCAATGTGTGACCCGGAGAACAATCCCTTATTCTGCAGAAGATGCAACATGTTGTTGGTGATCTGGAATGTCTCTGCTTGTATCGGGGGCACAGCAATGGCGGTGGCCAGGTTGTCAGCTATTGGTTGTGCCCAATCATAAAGTGCAGCTTCTGGCACAAGAGGTGCCACCACTCTGACGTTTGGGTCAGCTTGGTCATCCCTGATGTTTCCGTTGACGTTATCTACGTCACCCATTTCAATTTCAAGTTGGTGTGTTTGTTGTGATTGTTTGTTCTTCTTGTTGGCATGGTTTAATGCCCTGAATGTTTTCTCGGGGTCTGAGAGTCCTTCAAGCAGTTCACCAGTCCTCGAAGAATCTCTAGGCATACACTTGAATCACACAACAGTTCAAACGTGAGAATTTCAATGCAAAATTATTTAACACCGTAGAAAATTGATCTAAGCTAATAATTCTAGCACTACTTCTAAGTTTTAATAAGTAACACCGTTAATTCCCCGGCAACGGCGCCAAAATTTGATCACGCCCAACTGTGCCTTATAAAAGACAAAGCGGTCGTTGAAAATATAATCCGGTTTTCAAGTCCGGAGTCGAATCCTCAGGGAACTAACCTATCTACTACAACTCTTGGTGATGCTAGTACAAGCTCAAACAATTTCGGATGCAAGATTTTTATCAACAAAATATTGGATTTTTGTTTAACTAAGTCAAAATGATATTAAAACTAACAATATTCTAACTCAAAGATTAGTCAATGGTAAAAAGATCTAGGGTATTGATTTCCCCAATTGCTAGTTTGAGTATTAACTCTTTTGCTATAATCTCGCCGTAATACTCTATGAGAATTATGAGCTATGGGTTACCGCAATTATCTCTCGATCAACTACGATAATTTAGTAGAGCATTCTCTCGAACTACTTTAGCTGATAATTTATGCAGCTCTGAATTATCCCACCAAAGTTTCGTTATATCTAACCCCACTTTTAAGTTCAAGTAATGAATCTCTTCAATTACCCAAAAGTGGTGTTGTTCAACAGCAGTCTAACCTAGTATTCTTTCTCAAGCAACACAAGGCAATTAGACACAAATAATCAAGGGCCCATTCAATTAATCACCATACAACACATAGTTGAACAATCATATAATAAATCCGGCTCGATTGTCACAAAATTGAGTCAACACTTCATCCAACAATTGGTTCCATCAACCCTAGATTAAATATTTAGCTACTCATAGCAAAACATGATAAAACTACAAAAGTATTCATAATGTGCAATTGAAATAACAAAGAGAAGATAGAAAAACTCTAATGGTTGGTTGCTCTTCTCACACTTGTTCTAGCCTCCAAATCAATCTAAAAAACAATCTTCTCTTTGCTTGGGCGAGTTTGTTGAGTTTATAAAGGGTTCGGATAAGTTTTCCCTAATTTACACTTTAGTCCCAAAAATTTTGGGCAATTACACAGTCCACCGCGGCCGCGGCAGAACGCGGCGCGACTGCGGTGAAAGACAAACATTCTGCCCCGTTTTCTTAGCCTACCGCGGTCCAGCCGCGGTCGGGGTGGCGTCAAGCCCAGTCCTCTTTGCCTCTTTCTTGCTTATTTTCTCTTGGGTTCTTCTTGATTAGCCTTTTTTCCACATTCTTGACTCCAAAACACTTCATATGCTCTTCCTAACTTGGATTAGTCCCTGCAAAGCAAAAGAACACCAATTAGAGTATTTGTTATCATTTAGCCTTTAAAACAACCATAAAGTATGACACAATTGGAGTGTAAATAACATCTATATAGCCTATTGTCACTACCCAAATAGAGGTCCAATGCCTCCTGGACTGCAAGTATGGGACGGATAGTACACGCATAGAGCACGACTTAGAATTGAATTAGAGCGCTTTTAGGTAAACAACTTTAACATAGTAATCGGGTAGTAGGAGATGATAATCTGTGCCCGCTGAATAATATGAAGAAATCCCTACCTCAAGGGAGTTATGAAGTATTATTTATGTTGCACGGGGTAATCCTTTAGGCTAAAAAACTTAGGACCCCCTCTCCCTCTTTTATATGTTGCTATTAGATCTAAATATGTGTATCCCTATATTCGTACTAAGATCTCTAATCGTGTTGTAATGAAATTCTTTGACCTTTATATTCCCTTTGTTTTTTTGATCATTTAGCCTAATTGTAATCCACATAATCTTAAGTTCGGCCGGGAACCACAATTGTGGCCTCGAAGTGTGCCTAACACCTTCTTTTTGAGGTAATTTAAGCCCTTACCCGATCTTTGGTAGCATTGACTAGTCAAACAGAGTTATCCGCACAATAGGTGCCCTAACGCACCTCAAAAACTGTTAGATGGTGACTCTTCTCCTTTAGCACTCTATCTCCCATACAAAGGAGTTGTCACGACGTTGAACCCGCTTTCGTGAGAAAACATGGCGCGACAGGAATAGAAAGATGTTGTATTCTCCTTGAGTCCATCTAGTGCCCCCGGACCAGATGGTCTTTCTGGGAAATTTTATCATTCTTATTGGGATATTATTAAAGATGATCTATTACTAATGAATATAGATTTCTTTGCAAGTAAACATGTTCCAAATGTCATTACCCACACTTGCTTGATCGTCATTCCTAAAGTGGATAATCCTCAAGCTTTCAATGAATTAAGGCCAATTAGCTTGAGCAACTTCTCTTGCAAAATCATCTCTACTTTAGTGAACCAAAGACTACGCCCCCTCATGAACAAGCTGATCTCTCCTTATCAAACTGGTTTTATCAAAGGGAGATCCATCACTGAAAATATCATGAAAACTCAGGACATGGTCCATAATATTACAAAGCCTTCCATCCATGGGAATGTGGTTTTAAAAGTGGACATAACTAAAGCATATGATAGAGTGTCATGGGATTATCTATGCAATATTATGAAGCATTTTAATTTCAATGAAACTTGGATTGATATTATCTGGAGACTTATGTCTAATGTTTGGTATTTTGTTTAATCAATGGGAGTAGGCATGTGTTTTTTAATTCTACTAGAGGTTTATGTAACCCCTGTTAAATCGGCTTAGTTATGAATGAGCTAAAGGAGTAGTAAGGTTATATTTTGAACATCTGAAGTCCCATCGGGATGATTATGGGTGAAAATAGTTGTTTCAAAATCAAGATGGAAAGTGAGGTGCATAAGATTTGACAAAAATCGACTAAGTTTGCAGAAGGTTTGTCTTCAAGCAAGGTTTAGTGAAAATGTGTAAGGAATTTGGGAAAATGCAAAGCAAGAAAGTTGTAGGCCTTTGAAATAGCTTCCAACGATATATTGTGGAGCCCAAACGGAGGTCTGTGCGAAAGGTTATGCCCGTTTTACAGAATGATGCTTAAACACCGCGTTTGGCCGCGTTTGACCGCGACCGCGCTCGTGAGGCAGTTTTCCAGCGATTTACCGCGGTCGGGACCGCTGTCAGGCCTACTGGGACGCGGTGTCCAACCTGGGAAGTCATTTTTTTGCCCTATTTCATTCCGCACAGCCCCAAAACATAAAAACTTGCTCTAGAAAGTAAAGCTCTCAAAAACCTAACTCCTTAAGGGTCCCTCCACCACCCAAGATAAGTTCTAATGGTGATTCTAAGTTAATTTCAATTTTCCAACATATTATTAACATGGGTAAACCTTCCATATCATTAGATATTCAATTGGGACATCATTGTTGAGAGAAGGAAGCCTAGAACTCGAATTCAAAGGGTTTGAACTTCGAAGAGGTAATGTCTTCACCCTCTAATTGATTCTAACATTGGTTTAATGATAATAAATCCTAGTTCATGAGATGTGAGTTGATGAGTTTGATTGAAAAGCATGAACGGTTATGGGTTTGGTGTGCTGATTGTTGATTATTCGTTAAGGGTGTTTTTTACCTTATGGGTGATAAAGAATAATGTTGATTATAAACATTTAAGACTTTAGAATTTATATAGGAGCAAGAGAATGGGTTATTGGGCGTAGAGACACCATTAATAAGGACTATGAAGCTTTATGTCACCAAGTGTTTGAGAAAATGTCTAAGTAACCAAAATGTGAGAATTATTGCTAATATAGAATCCTTTTGATTTGTATTGATATGATTAAAGTTGAAAGGGTTGGCAAACGTTGTATTATGCTCAAGAGCAGGAAGTTAAGGTATGTGAGGCTAACTCTCTATGTTTGGGAATGTTAATGATTCTCCCTACACTACATTTCTTTTACGACGTTACTAATTGCCTCAGAAATATAGTTTAGCCTAATTCCT